TATTACGAATTTATTCAATGTTCCCGCAAAATTAAATAATATAAATGTTTCATTACTCATTTTTCTTGAACAACAACATGACAAAGAAATACAAATTTTTATTCATTGAAAAAGAGTTACAAAATACATATAAATTTTTACTCTTGTGCTCTCCTACTCGGACGCATATCCATTTCATTTGTAAATCGTGTCCTTTGAGGCTTACCGGTTTGACTGCGTCGAGCACTTTGAGGCGGTATCACTACATATCCGGTATCAGGCATCGCACTTACGTCATGCATAGGCATAATATCTGTAGCATACGTACGGATGTACGCACCTAATTTATACACGTCCGGGATGAGATGATCTACAGTTATTTCTAAGAAATGGCATGTTGCATAGGCGTGCACACATGGAAATCCATTTTGCTTCCAAAAACCGCAATCACATTCGCAACGTGAGAGATTTACTGTTACCGGCGGATAATCACGGATGGAAACAGAGTATATTCCCGTTGTTCGGTTATGCGGGACAATAGTGCACTGATGTCTTTTCTGTGAACGTTCAAGAATATCTTTCCATATATTTTGCGGATATAGGAACCCAGCTTGCCGCCACATCTGACCGGCCCTACGTCGATCGGCAAATAGTTGGACAACTTTGTTATAAGTTGCCTTAACCAGCGCGGTGATTGGAAGTGTTCGACATCCCTTTAGAACGTTATTGAAGCTCTCGAAAAGATTTGTTGTGAGGATGCCGTAACGTCGTCCATCGTCGAAGCACAGTGCCCAATTTTCACGTGGAATAGCGTTCAAATACGTGAACGCATTCTCATTCGTAGCACGAATTTGAGTCATTGTTTGGTAAAATTCACTCACCATGGGTGTACTCCCGGCCTGCCAACAGAGCTTTTTCAGTTCAGTGCTCCTGAATTTTGTCATGAAATTGCTTCTAATGTGTCGGAGGCAGAACCGCTTCGAAACTTGGGAGGTTTTCAATTGAGGTACTGATTGATAGGCACTTAGGATGCCAGGGTGTCGATCTGATACTATGCACACATGCCGATTTGGTCTGACAACATAAGTCATAATGTGTTCCAAAAACCAGGACCAACTATTTGTGTTTTCACTTTCCACAACTGCGTACGCGAGAGGGAAAATCTCACGGTTAGCATTCATGGCGACTGCAACCAAGAGATGACCCTTGAACTTTCCGTACAAGTGAGTACCGTCAACAGATACTACGGGCAGACGATGTTCAAACCCATTAATGGAAGCTTTAAAAGCCCAAAATGCACGATGAAATTCATACGTACCATCATGACTGGTTGGTTTTGGTTGGAAATCTACCACTGACCCCGGATTTGATTCTCTTATCGCAAGTAACAAATTGGGTAAATCAAACGTCCATACCACGCCTTTTTGTACTTGACATTGATTCTGAATTTGTCGTATATGTCTTGCATCACGAGTTTAATGTTGTAGTCCGGATCAACATGCACTTTTGTAGCGATTGCACTCGCTATGATCTTGCTCGTCATAAGCCTGTCATTACGGGCTCTTTTATAATCCACTCTGCAGTTGTGTAGTGGTTGATATTTTTTCACCTTCCACATAGTTGGGAATGGGTTTAGGTGGGTGCAAGTGGTTGGGAGAAGTGGTTGAAATTATTTCGAATAATAAGTGGTTGAAAAAAAAATTGAATGTTGTGTAGAATTATTGATTCCCGAAGTGACAGGGAATCTGTCAGAAAAATTAAAAGTTGATTGATTTAATTTAAAGTGAGTGGAATCTGTACACTTTTGTACCCGGAATATTTTTTTTAGATCAAAATTATTGATAGTTGGGAGTGGTTTAGGTGGGTGCAAGTGGTTGGGAGAAGTGGTTGAAATTATTTCGAATAATAAGTGGTTGAAAAAAAAATTGAATGTTGTGTAGAATTATTGATTCCCGAAGTGACAGGGAATCTGTCAGAAAAATTAAAAGTTGATTGATTTAATTTAAAGTGAGTGGATTTTGTACCCGGAATATTTTTTTTAGATCAAAATTATTGATAGTTGGGAGTGGGTTTAGGTGGGTGCAAGTGGTTGGGAGAAGTGGTTGAAATTATTTCGAATAATAAGTGGTTGAAAAAAAATTGAATGTTGTGTAGAATTATTGATTCCCGAAGTGACAGGGAATCTGTCAGAAAAATTAAAATTTGATTGATTTAATTTAAAGTCTACTTCGGGAATCAACTTTTAATTTTTCTGACAGATTCCCTGTCACTTCGGGAATCAATAATTCTACACAACATTCAATTTTTTTTCAACCACTTATTATTCGAAATAATAAGTGGTTGAAAAATTAAAAGCTTATTTCGGATTAGAGGAATCCGTTTTTTAGCATTCCCCTGCCAACCCTAAAGTTTTCGGATTAGCCAACCCTGTTACCCGTATTTTCGGAAAACCTAAAAAAATTCCCGTATTTTGGAAGGCCAGGCAATGGTTTCCCGTCATTTGAGAAATCACCCCCCATTCCCACCACCTCAATATTGGCCGGTCCAGTACCGAAGCCGGTCCAAGACCGGACCGGGTCCGCCCATTTTTGTGCATAATCTAAAATTTTGGTTTTTCATTTTTATTGATCAGGCATTGGACAACAATTACTAGCTTATGCATAAATTTTGGTTTTTCATTTTTGTCCATCTTTCTAAAAGTAGATGCCTTTAAGTTAATGTGGAAAAAGTAAAAATAAGGGTAAATTTGTCACGTTATTCTTATTTACATACCAAAAATAGAAAGTGAAAAATCATTTTGGGACAACCAAAAAAGGAAATTTTGCAAATCAAATTGGGACGGAGGGAGTACTGTATATAGTAAATGAATTGATAATTTTTTTAATCATGTCAATTTTAATAGGCTTTTTGGGTCTCCTCGGTCTCCTCAATCATGTCAACTTTATATATTTTGTGTATTTACTTTCCTTGGTCCAAAAGGTGGAATCTCCCACTCCAGGAGCCCCCACCCCGACCCGACAGGATGATGGGGAGATTAATCACGGTGACTCAGTCAGCAAAGCGGCGATGGACCTTATACACATGCGCAGCAGAGGTCCAGCCTTATTTCAGGTTCTATAACCTCCACACGGTCGGTGCGGGTTTCGAACCTTGGTCACTTGATTCAATTTTCCCACTACTCGACCAACTGAACTTCCCGTGCGGGTGTATTTACTTTCCTTTTAGTTACTGCTTATATATTTCTTGAACAAATCAGTTTTACCAAAGGACTAGTGTTTTTCCTTTAAACAAAGACTAAGGTTTTTTTCATAAATAATATTCAACCAAAATTTATTTACATAAATATCACTAATTGTTACTACATTGTGGTATCATGAAAATTTAAATTTAAAAATTGAATATAAGTTATTGTGATTTCATTATTATTCTAGTCAATGTAATTATTTCAAAAGACTACTTATCGGATTGAAGCAAACAAACCGAATAATACTCTTAAATGCTAATAAGAATCTATGGGACCAAAATACCAAAAGTGAAAAAGGAACATAAAAAAGTATACTAACTATAAACGGCTTGACTTTGAACAAAAAGAAACAAGAGATCACCTGGAGACATTAACTTCACTTGTCAGTTGTCATGCACTCATGCGCGCATGTGATATTCTAAAGCCAAGTGGCAGGACTTATTGACGAGCACTTTGTCAAGGTGCGTCAAAATAAATTCAATACTAAACACTTATACATAGTATAGCGTAGTAGAGTTCGTATCCACAGGGAAAGGAATGATTCTCTTTTTATGAAACTAGTAATTAAAAAGGGGGGATTTTGGTTTTGAGTGATTTAATTCAATTAAGAAACTAAGATGAACAACCTATATGTGTTTAATTCAAGAATAAAAGGGACTTCGCTTTGCTACTTTCCACTTGTTGATATATTTTAGTCGATCCTTGTTATATCTATAACTTATCCCCTCTCGAATACTCAATCGAGGAGTATCTCCAATTCATCGAGGGTAGTTATTAACAACGACCGTTCATCAATAACCCTTACTATTAATCAAATATAGAACAACGCCGTATACCGATATAATAGTAGCATTCAATCTTTTTAACTCCTTGATGAAATCAATTGAGATTGATAACCTTAACACAATAATTTCGGTTTAACCAACAAAATTGATCCCTCTTAAGTCTATTAACCACGACCGTGCATTAATAAACCGAAGTTACTTACTTGTGAAACCACCAACGATTAACCATCGGTTCGTTGATCGTTTCTAGTAGTAATTAATGTCGGAACGTTAACTAATCGTCACTTAGCAACCCTCCAACATTAATATAGAATGAGATTAAGGGAAGAATTAATAATCAAGAGAAGAAGTTAAGAAAATAACTCACAACTTTAATAACCAACAAGCTTCAAGAGCAAAACCAAGAATGGAAGTTTAGCTCCTCATTTGGAGACTAAACATAGCTAGAAAAATATAAAGAAATTCTATTCTAAACTGAGCTAAAGAGAATGGAAGAAGGGATGATGAAATGTGAAGGAAAATGGGGCTATTTATAGGTGTTTTCAACACCTAATGCCGGATACCCGGCCGGGTATTTTGACATACCCGACCGGGTATTTACCAAATCAAATATTTCCCCATGTTTTTGTGTCTTCTGCACGTTCTTTGGTCCGAAATCACAGAATACCCGACCGGGTATATGGAATACCCGACCGGGTATTTGCTAGTTTTGCAGCAGTTTCCTTTGTCACTTCATATCCGGCCGGGTAAAGTCCATACCCGACCGGGTTTTGCACAAAACTCAGGTTTCTTCATCCTTTTTGCTTCCAAACCTATCCTAAACTTATAGCCAAACTAACTACAACTTACAACAAACAATAAAATGCTAGAAATACGATTACAATCAAATGCAAACTAACAACTATAAACTTGCACAAAACTAGTAAATAAACATTACAAACAATAATAAAAATGTATACTTAGGCACTAACAACTAGTGCCTATCAAACACCCCCACACTTGAACTTTTACTCGTCTCGAGTAAAACAAATCATGTCCATGAAGTTTCCAAACCAACAATTGTAGCAATTACAACCATTCACAAGTGTTTTTGAAAATCAACATAAAAGAATGTTTCAATGATCAAAACACATGAATAAAAGGGTCTTCACCATCATTGGGTTTCTTTTCTTTTGCTCCTTATGTGTACCCTTAGGATCCTGCAAATACAAAAGAAATACTTTCTCTCATTCTCTCATTTTGCCTAGGTGCCCTTTTGGGTTTTCATCCCAGCTTCCCACATTTTCCTTTTTAATTCTCCCCAACTCACTCTTCTTTTTTGCTTTTATTTTGCTTAAGTTGCCCTTTTTGGGTTTTCAACCTAACAAGCTTAAATATTTTTTTGTTTTTTGTTTTTATATAGCAAGAATAAAGAGTATGAAATGGGAGCATACCAGAATAATTCTCCCCCCCAGCTAGTTAATGGCACTGCCCCTAGTGCCCGCCCGCATCTCCTCCATCAAAGAATCCACCCTGACCATAGTAGCTGTCATGAAAATCGCCTGTATATGGGTATTCCTCATCGTTTGTGTCTGAGCTGCCGCCATATCCGCCATCACCACCTCCGAAATCCCTGTCAACACCATCACCGCCAGCTTGTCCACCTCCTCCGGAGCTAGATCCTCCGAAATTACCCCAATGTGAGGGGTCATACCATGTAGCATGTTGGACTGGAGTGGGCATGTGGGAAAAATACCCTTGCTGGTCAAAATATGCATACATAGGCCCGAAGGCCCGTCTTTGATCGTCTTCCACCCTTTGGTACGCACTGTAGAGATCTTCAATGCGTGTGTTCATTGCCGTTTGGTTAAGATTGAGTTGTTGTATACCGGCCAGCATTTGTTGTTCAAAGGGGGTGTATTGAGGGGGTTGGGGATCGGGTTGTGGCTCTTCTTGTGGTTGTTCGGGGCTGGGTGGTGGCTCAAGTTGAGGAATGTCATAAAGATAGTGGTCAGGGGTAGTTCCGGGTAGGCAAAGATGTCTCCTATCCCCGAGTTGATGGTTAAAGATGTTTGGAAGTTCATCGGAGGGGATTGTAAAAAGTTGTGTGGGTGAGGGGTTAATGGTCCAATGGTAAAATGATGTGGTCCCAATGGTGTGGGAGTGACTCACATCATGTGCAGTGAGTAGGAACTTAAGATTAAGGAAATTCCAATCTTGAACTTGTCTATTTGCACAATAGCCAAATTTGGTACATATATGATGTATGTACCCTCCTATGAAAATTTCACCCATAGCTTCACATTCCTTTTTTAAATGGTCCCACAAAATTGAAGCAAGATCTAATCTAGGAGCTTCTGGGAAGATACCCATAGCAAGAACGGCCAATTCACTAATCCTTGTTTGATGATTATTTGGCTTCCCAAAGACATGATACCCAAACCATTTTAGTGCGATTCGAATGGCAGGGTGTTGAACATGTGTAATATGCATATGTGAAGATTTAAACACCCTAACCCCTGTCATTCTTCGCCACAAATCATGCACAATGGTCTTATCACTTCTTACCTTTCTTTCCTCCACACCTAAAACCGGTAGACCAAATAGCTCGGCAAACTCACGTTTCGTTAAAGTTCTTGGTATGTTGTTATACCGAAACGTGAGTTTGCTCTCATAGGTGTCCTCTATATCCTCAGTAAATTCAACCGATGCTAGGAACTCATACATAATTCTTTTGTAGATATTATAGGACATGTGGAACAATGTAGTAAGTCCTATGTTGTTGCACAGTTCTAGCATCATATCATACAACATCAATGCTCTCAATGTTTCATGACAAAGAAATCGTGTGGAATGTACCTCTCGGTTGAGTTGGGTGAGGAATTTCTTGTGATGAGCCCTAGACGTGAATTCGATGCTTTCATACCCCGGAACTTGTGGAATTGGAGCACTTGAGTTGGAGGAAGATGCTCTAGTCCTTTTAGGTGCCATAGTTAACTTTTTCTTGGACTTTGGGGTTGGATTTTCGGACTTGGGGCTTGGTGGAGTGAAAAATGTGGACTTTTTGGGAATTGGGTGTTTTTGTGGGTGTAGAAATGGAGAGGATGATTGTGGGGAAGAAGAAAATGGAGTTTATTTGGGATTTAGATGGATGATTGGAATGGATTGGAGCTTGGAAAGTTTGGCTATGGAGGTTTGGGGGATTAGTTGTTTGGGGAAGAAGAAGAAGATGGGGGGTTGGGGAAGGATTTTGGGTGAAAATCCCGTAAAAAGGGCTTGTTTCGCACAAATACCCGGCCGGGTATTCCTGATACCCGAATGGGTATTCTATTTCCCGTAGGCAGAAGCCTTTTTGGCTAAATACCCGGTCGGGTTTTTGTAATACCCGGTCGGGTATTAGGCTATTATTTTTTTTTATGCCCGACCGGTTTTCTTGTAATACCCGAATGGGTTTTTGTTTTTCTGGAAGGCAGAATGTTTTTTTGCTGAATACCCGGTCGAGCATTTGTAATACCCGGTCGGGTATTAGGCTATTTTACACTGTTTTTAATTTTTTTGATGCCCGGCCGGTTTTTTGGTTGATACCCGAATGGGTATGCTTGACAGTAGCTCCCAGGGGTGAAAAAATACCAAAACCCGGTCGGGTTGTCTACATACCCGGTCGGGTTTTTATTATTTTTTTTTTATTTTTCATTTTTACCCGGTGGATGGAATGGCCGGGTATTCTCCTTTTGTGCTGATACCCGACCGGGTTTGGGAATACCCGGGCGGGTTTTTCTCAAAATTATATATTTTTTTTTTTTTGAAAAGATTTTACACACACACTCTACTAAAATAAAAAGAAGAAAAAAGGAAAAAAAATATACCGTGCATGGGTTGCCTCCCAAGAAGCGCTTTATTTAACGTCGTGGCTCGACGATATCTTCTGATGTTCCTCATTCGTAGACCGGTTCAGAAAGGTCTACGACTTCCACATTTTTGGGTTGAAAACCCTCAAAGAAGGGTTTTAATCTTTGTCCGTTCACTTTCAGCACCTCTCCCGTCTCCAGGTCCTGAATTTCCACCGCCCCGTGTGGATATGTTTTGACCACTTTGTATGGTCCGGTCCAACGGGGTCTCAGCTTTCCCGGAATAGACGAAGGCGTGATTGGAATAGGAGGACTTTTTCATCAAGTTTAAAGTCTTTTCGTATGATCATTTTATCATGCCACTCCTTCGTCTTTCTTTTGTATATTTCTGCATTGTCATAAGAATCCAGGCGAAGTTCTTCCAATTCTTGTAATTGGAGCTTCCTATGTACACCGGCCTCGTCAAGATTGAGGTTGAATTCTTTAACCGCCCAATAGGACTTATGTTCGAGCTCTACAGGGAGATGACATGCTTTCCCAAACACAAGTCTATAAGGAGACATACCGATTGGGGTTTTGTAAGCAGTTCGGTATGCCCATAGCGCATCATCAATGCGTATACTCCAATCCTTCCTGTTCGGGTTCACTGTTTTCTGGAGTATAGATTTCAACTCCCTGTTTGAGGTCTCCGCTTGGCCATTTGTTTGAGGGTGGTAGGCTGTAGAAATTTTATGAGTCACACCATATTTTTTCAGTAGGGATCCCACAACCTTGATCGCTAATTAAAATTCGAGGGACCCCGAACCTTGAAAATATGTGTGATTTGAGAAAACTAGCCACCACCTTGGCATCATCAGTTTTTGTTGCTTTGGCCTCCACCCATTTGGAGACGTAGTCTACTGCAAGAAGGATGTATATGTTACCTTGGGAATTTGGGAATGGTCCCATGAAGTCGATACCCCATGCATCGAAAATCTCACAGAAAAGCATGGGGTTTTGTGGCATCTCATTCCTCCTGGAAATGTTGCCCGCTCTTTGGCAATTGTCACAAGATCGACAAAAGCCGTGTGCATCTCGAAATAGACTCGGCCACCAAAAACCGCTCTCAAGTATCTTCATTGCTGTTCGTTTCGGGCCGAAATGTCCTCCACAAGTATAAGAGTGACAAAACTCTATGATGTGGGCTATCTCATATTCAGGGATGCATCTTCGGATTATTTGATCCTTACAATGCTTCCACAAATATGGGTCATCCCACACATAGAGTCTTGAATTCATTCTTAATTTTTCTTTTTGAGATTTTGAGAGTTGTGGAGGAAATTTGCCGGAAACGAGGAAGTTCACGATATTTGCGTACCATGGTTGTGTGACTTTGATGGAGAAGAGAGTTTCATCCGGGAATTCTCCTTTGATGAGATTTGTGTGGAGGTCTTCGATGTCTTTGTGAGGGATGAGGCGGCTTAAATGATCAGCCACCAAATTCTCATCTCCTTTCTTGTCTTTGATTTCCACATCAAACTCACTCAATAGAAGGACCCATCGAATGAGTCTTGGTTTGGCTTCTTTCTTTGTCATAAGGAATCGAAGAACGGCATGGTCGGTGTAGACAATAACTTTTGTTCCAAGAAGGTAGGAACGAAACTTTTCCAAAGCAAAAACCACCGCTAGCATTTTCTTCTCGGTGGTGGAGTAGTTCTTTTGGGCTTCGTTGAGGGTTGATGAGGCGTAGTAGATGACATGGGAGGCTCTTCCAACTTTCTGGCCCAAAACAGCCCCCACCGCATAGTCACTTGCGTCGCACATGATCTCAAAAGGAAGAGACCAGTCGGGAGCCTGTATGATCGGGGCAGTCACCAATCTTGCTTTCAAAGTGTCAAAAGCCTCTTTGCATTCATCGTTTAGATTAAATTCCACCTCCTTTTGTAAAAGTTTGCAAAGAGGAGATGAGATTTTTGAGAAATCCTTGATGAATCTCCTATAGAAACCGGCGTGACCGAGGAAAGAGCGGATGTCCCGTACATTTGTGGGGTACGGGAGCATTTGAATCACATCGATCTTTGCTTTGTCCACCTCGATCCCCTTTGATGAGATCACATGCCCAAGAACAATCACTTGTTCTACCATGAAGTGGCATTTTTCAGAGTTCAGCACAAGGTTGGATTCAATGCAACTCTTTAGCACAAGAGTGAGGTGATATAGGCAAGAGTCAAAAGAGTCACCATGGATTGTGAAATCATCCATAAAGACCTCCATGAATACCTCCACAAATTCTGAAAAGATGTTCATCATGCACCTTTGAAAGGTGCCCGGTGCGTTGCATAATCCAAAGGGCATTCGTCGGTAGGCAAAAGTGCCAAATGGACATGTGAAGGTTGTTTTCTCTTGGTCCTCCGGGGCTATTGGTATTTGGAAATACCCGGAGTAACCATCGAGAAAACAATAGAACTTGTGCCCAGCTAACCTCTCTAGCATTTGATCAATAAAAGGCAATGGAAAGAAGTCTTTCCTAGTCACCGAATTGAGTCTTCGGTAGTCAATGCATACTCGCCACCCGTTTCGAACTCGGGTGGGCACCATCTCGCCATCCTTGTTTTCAATGACCGTCACTCCGGTCTTCTTTGGCACCAGTTGAGTGGGACTCACCCACTTGCTATCGGAAATGGGGAAGATGATTCCCATTTGAAGCAATTTGATTACCTCCTTTTTCACCACCTCCATCATGGGTGGGTTCAATCTTCGTTGCGGTTGTCTCACCGCTTTGGCCTCATCTTCGAGCAAGATCCTGTGCATGCATGTGGATGGACTAATGCCTTTGATGTCGGCAATAGACCATCCAATGGCCAATTTATATTCCTTCAAGACCGCGATCAATCTTTCTTCTTGTTCTTGGGACAGGGCATTTGAAATAATCACCGGTAGGGTGTGATTTTCACCCAAGAACACATGCTTCATATTTTCAGGGAGTGATTTTAATTCCACCTCCGGTGCCTGCAAAACAGATGGTAGCGGCTTCTCGCTTGGAATGGTTAGCGAGAGGGCTTTAGAGCCCGGTGGCAAAAGTGGGAGTTGATTTAACTCCGCCACCATAATCTTCATGTTATTTGACATAGAGTATTCCAATGTAAAATCCTCTATGTCGTTTTCTATT